AACTGCAGGAGAAATGGCTTGAAGGAGATGAGATGGAATAGGATCAAGCGGACAAGTAGTAGGATGATTAGAAAAGATGAGTTTGGAGACTTCTGCCTCAGAGAGTGAAGAGAAGGATGTGAATGAGTGTATGTTTGCTGGTAAGATGTGCTTGACAGATTATGGTATGGAAAATTGTGCACTGATGTTTTAATTTTATTAATGAAGAACGTGGCAAAGTCGTTAGCTGTTAGAGTTGAGGAAACACCCATCCCCCTTACAGCGCCCCTGCATCCATGAAACCACCATGAATATGATGGATTATGACCACCATAAATATGATGCATCCATGAAACCACCATGAACATGAGTATATAACATACTATCTCTGTTTCCACTTGTAGTACACTTGAACCCATCTTTCATACACTAGTACACTCAAGTGGTAACTAAATACATTTTTTAAATACAGAGATAGAATAGCACATTTTAGTTAATATTCATGGAGTCCCAAAATAGCATAGTTGAGTACACTTAGATGATCTTAAGTTTATCTTAAGAAGTCCTAAGAATAATTTGTAGTATATTAAGTACATAATTAGTGCGTGAAAATAGAGCACCTCTTTTTTCACCTGGGTTCCTAGAACTGCCCCTGATAATAAATGTACAGTTCTATAATTAATGTGTGAAAATTACTTAGGCTATATCAATTTCTAAAAAAAAAAAAAAAGAAAGAAAGAAAAAAATCACGTCTGTTCCGCAGTTGTGTCGTAATTTCCACCACGTCATTTACGCCACTAATAAATAATAACGTTTTGTTTTGTCATAGTAAGTAGTATTACTTGTGAAGTATTACTTTTTTAAGTTGTTTTGGATGGTTTTTAATTATTTTTTTTACAAAATATTTGGAAGAATATCGTATATGTTTTTTTAAATATAATTTACCACAATTAAAATCATATGTTTATACGTACCATGTTGTAGGGATTTGCTCGTCCAGTAGATGGAGGCGTTGCGTTAAGATGGCAGGGAGAGAGGGAGAGAGAGAGAGAGAGAGAGAGAGAAAGAGAGAGAGAGAGAGAGAGAGATGATGATGATGATGATGATGATGATGATGATGGGTTTGTAGTCTGCAGTCGCATCAGCGCACATCTCACACATTCACACAGAGGAGCTTCACAGACCGGCGAGATGTGGAGGATAGTGGAGTTCGTGGCGTGTTTGCTTATGATGTCCAGTCATGTATCATCTCAGAGCAAGGTAAGAAAATAAAAAAGTTTGAGAATGTGTTTTGCATTTATTTGCTCATATTCAGTATGTTATTGCAGAACTGATCATGCCAAAACAAATATTTTCTTCGCTTATTTTATTACCGAATATCACTGTAATCATTTCATTGTTTTATGCATGAACTATAAAAATATAGAACACGATTTCTTTTACTCAGATGCATATAAAAAGTCAGTTTTATTTATTTATAAATACCAGTTTCATTCAAATGTGACTCGCTGCACGATGATATGCCATTTGGAGGTTTAGTCTATGGAATGGCTTGTTTTTTTTAAATAAAAAGCGGATATATTTGATCATGTTCAATTCAGTTCAGTGGGATTTGGTGTTTTTATAGTTGAAATGATTATTCGCACGGGTGGGCGCTTTGAAAGTGTTTGGATTAAACTCTTCAGCAGGCACACACACTGCGCGCAACGCACCGCTGGCACGAGTTCAGAGGTCTCGGGTTCGTGTCGTGAGTGAAAAATACCATAATACTGTCTAAAATAACAGGTGCTCAATCCTGCTTCTGAAGCGTGTGCTGTGCTGTTCTAACTATAATCTAATACACCTGCACTGAAGAAGATTCGCTTGCTCAGAGGGTTCTCTCTTTCACAGCTCATTAGTCTTAATGTTAAAGTTAAAAGAACACCACACAATACGCTTTTCAAAAATGAAATTTCTCTCAGCAACTTCCATAAAGATATCAGATTTTTTTTTTTTTGCAAGACTGCCATTGGTTTCCGACGGAAAGGTTTTGAGGAAAACTAAATTTATTCATATTAAGCTCCTTAAGTACAAAATAGGACATTCAAATGTTGCCTAAAGGGTTTCCAGAGGTTTCCACCGAACATAGTGCATCAAGTATCTGTTCATTTGTGCCTGAAGAGTTTTCTACAATACTGATAGCTGGTATAACAAATACTGTTTTGTCTGTTGCCTTGAAATAGTATAAGATAGCCCCTCTAAAATGAGGCATCAAGCTATTTTAATAATACATTTGTGACCTGCCTGGTTTAGAAAATGTTTGTTTAAATTGAAAAAAAAAGAAGCTCTGATTTAATTAGCTTCCAATATTGCCAAAAAAGCTAATATTTGCTCTCATTTTTATCCTTTGTGTTTTATTTTAGTATCAGCTATGTGTCAGATGTTTCTACTGAAACTCCTATTATTTTATAGCGCAGTTAAAAAGTGTATAGCCTGATATTTTGCACTTAAAATAATTAGATGAAAAAAACGTGAGAGTCCATATTGAGATTTCTGACTTTGATTACAGATATCGGTGTCTTTTACAAATCTGAGTGCACCTTTCTCCAACTCTAGAGGAGAAAACATGTTTTTTTGTTCTCAGGAGAAAGATCTTAATATGAAAAGTCTCCATTTGTTCTTTATTTCCTCTCATTGCTGTCTAGCACAAATGCTCTATATTTTTTTTTCCTAAGGGCGCCTGTCGTTTTCAGGTAAACCATAAGACCTCGACTCACAGGTGTGTTTGATTAGAGTTGGAACTGAACCCAGGAAGGTAGATCTTCAGGAGCAGACCTTTGCATCCTAAAACATGCATTTGAGTAACGTACAGTAGAGACAGAGTGCGAGACATCTGAAAAAAAAATAAAAATCCAGCGAGCTGCAAGACAGCAGCTTTCTAATCCATCATGAAGATTTCCAGTATCCTTCCATGATCTCCACTCCAATTGTATTTTTTGGTGACATCCTCGAAGTTTTTCACCCCAATTGTTCACAATGCACCTAACAAGAGGTGTTTACCACTTCATTGAAAGCTTTTCTTTAAGCCCTCCAGCTGTGGCGGACAGATGAAAGGCTGATGTGTGAGCGGCGAGTCACTTCGGCTAAAACGGTTGATTTCCCAAGAATAAAACTGCACATGAGAAAACGACACGGAGACGTCATGATGCATCAGGAGCCGCACTTATCACAGGTCACGGCTCACTGGAGAGAACGACAGGGCCCCAATCCTCACTCTTGTCGGATTTCTTTTTTGTTTCATTCATTCCACTAAATTGTTACCTGTGGTGAGCATGAGAAAACAATCTATAAGAGAATGATAGTCCGTTGAAAAATGTCAGTGTTTTTACTTTAAAGGGGTCATATGATGCTGCTAAAAAGAACAAAAACGACACGGAGACGTCATGATGCATCAGGAGCCGCACTTATCACAGGTCACGGCTCACTGGAGAGAACGACAGGGCCCCAAATCCTCACTCTTGTCGGATTTCTTTTTTGTTTCATTCATTCCACTAAATTGTTACCTGTGGTGAGCATGAGAAAACAATCTATAAGAGAATGATGGTCCGTTGAAAAATGTCAGTGTTTTTACTTTAAGACAGAGAGGAAAACTAAAAAATTGTTTTTATTTTTTGACATTTTCTCATGCAAAGCCCAATGCCGTGATACTAGGATGTTGCTAGGGCATTGTTATATGGTTACTAGGATGCTGTGAGTTTTTTTTCAGCACAGTGTTGTAGGTGGTTGCTGACTGGTCAAGTCTGTTATATTCTGGTCTCTAGATATGGCTCATAACTTAAGTGTAAGCAATAGTAATATTTGTGCATTCCGTAAAGGAACAGTTCACCCAAAATTTTTGCTAGAAATGTTCTCACCTTCAGGCCATCCAAGATGTAGATGAGTTTGTTTCTTCTTCAGATTTGGAGAAATTTAGCATTACATCAGTTGCTCACCAATGGATCCTCTGCAGTGAATGGGTGCCGTCAGAATGAGAGTCCAAACAGCTGATAAAAACATCACAATAATCCACAGGTTATCCACACAACTCCAGTCCATCAATTAATGTTTTATGAAGTGAAAAGCTGTGTGTTTGGAAGAAACAAATCTATCATTAGGGTGTTTTGGACTGTTTTCGCTTGTAAACAGTGCTTGATCTGAGCCTATTTCTCCCCTGATTACGACGAGATAACTTTTTTTTTTTTTTTTACTGGAGAAAGCAATATTATGGATAAAGGACTCATATTTTAGTGGGAAGTAATGGTTTGAAGTTAAACACCTCTTTGATGGATTTGTTTCTTAGAAACCTGCATCTTTTCATAAATTGAGGGACTGGAGTGGTGTGGATTACTTGTGGATTATTGGGATGTTTTTATCAGCTAATTGGACTCTCATTCTGACGGCACCCATTCACTGCAGAGGATCCATTAGTGAGCAAGTAATGTGATGCTAAATTGCTCCAAATCTGTTCCATTGAAGAAACAAATTTATCTTAGATGACCAGCAAATTTTCATTTTTGGATGAACTATTTCTTTAACAAATTGCACTTAAAAGTGGGTCAGTCCAATTTAAGAAGTCTCAAGGGGTGATAGAGGAGGGGTAGGAACGAGAGGAGAAAGACTGTATGAACTAGTGATGGATGGTGGAGGTCTTGAGAGAAAAATTCACATGCTTCTGTTTTTTTCTTCATTCCTGGCAGTACATCAAAGATTGATATTGTATATAGCTAAATGACTAATTACCTGAGTAGAAAGTGGATGGCCAAAAAGCCAGTCCGGTTCCTCGCATGGGATTACAGAGGATTTGACCTATAAGAAGGATTACTCATGTTCTTCCACTTTTATCTGTCCTCTCCTTGTGAAGTTTACATTTCAGAGTTCTCACAGTTGTTATATCAGCTGCTGTGTGAATCAGAGTTTGTGTATTTATATAGATGAAGCACAGAACGTCTGGCTCCGCTGATCAGTGTTGATCATCATTCTGCACCTGTGATGGGCAGTTAGTCCTTGTGGTCACTGTCACAGCTGATATGGGGCAACAAAGAGAGATGGAACTAATAATTCAGCATGGACAGAATAGAAGTTTGGAGTCAGTAAGATTTTTTAAAAGATATTAATATTTGTATTCTGCATAAAATTTATCAAAAGTGACAGTAAAGACATTTAATGTTCCAAATGATATCTATTTCAAGTAAATGCTATTCTTTTGAACTTTCTATTCATTAAAGAATCCTGAAAAAAGTATAATGGTTTTCACAAAAATAATTGGCAGTTTTTAATGATAATAGCAAATGTATCTTGAGCAGCAAATCATCATATTAAAATGATTTCTGAAGGATCATGTGACACTGAAGACTGGAGTAATGATGCTGAAAATTCAGCTTTGCGTCATAGAAATAAATTACATTTTAAAACATATTCAAATAGAAAATAGTTTAATTTTGCAGTATTACTGTTTTCATTGTTTTCAGTCAATAATAACTTTAATTGGATTTGTTCCTCACACAAAGATATATGACTTCATAAGACTTTTAATATAGTGCATTTAGACTGCTATGCTACTTTTATTGTGCTGTCAGAATGTTTATATAGTGCAAATAACAATAATACTACAATATCCAGTAGTTCTATCAACATAGCAAATCATTCTCAGGGATTTGTCACTGCCAGCATCTCAGTGGAAGAAATGCATCCCTGCTGAGGAAATCAGAGTGGATTCGCTTATTTTAGCACAACACAGCTGACACTTGCCCTCTGTTTGTTTGGACTTCGGTTGCTATCCTAAACATGCCAGATAATAGCTGGGAAAGGGAGACGGTACATCCATTGGTGACATGACATTGGCTGATTATATTCTAAACAAATTGGCATGTATGTCAATAAACTGATCCCTCAGAAAGATCCAAACACGCATAGAATTGTGGGGCAATAGAATATAAAACATGTTCAAACAGAGAGTTAGCTCATAAATCACCCACATGCCCTTCATAAACACATTATCAGATTTGCAGATCAAGCAATAAGATCTTTCTCACGCTTTAAATTACCAAAGCTGGCAGGGTGTGATGATGTATGTGTTTCCATTTGTTTTTTGAGAAGATCTCAGAATTGCTGAAGAGGATATAAGTAAGCCAAGATGTTAATTTTAAGGTAAGGTTTATCTAAACCGATCTGAGTTAGGACACACTCTGTATGATCCGGCTTTCTGTTCTCAGAGGTCAAAGGTCACTGTTGAAACCATCTGCTTGTTTTCCACTCAGTCCTTTGACAATAATGGCCTAGAAGATGTAGAATGGAGAGTTAGCTCATAAATCACCCACATGCCCTTCATAAACACATTATCAGATTTGCAGATCAAGCAATAAGATCTCTCTCACGCTTTAAATTACCAAAGCTGGCAGGGTGGGATGGTGTATGTGTTTCCATTTGTTTTTTGAGAAGATCTCAGAATTGCTGAAGAGGATATAAGTAAGCCAAGATGTTAAACCTTCTCACACACTCACACACACACACACACACACACACACACACACATATACATACCTGAAAGAATTTGACTTAGTGCTTTTAAACTTGCACATTATCTAAACCGATCTGAGTTAGGACACACTCTGTATGATCCGGCTTTCTGTTCTCAGAGGTCAAAGGTCACTGTTGAAACCATCTGCTTGTTTTCCACTCAGTCCTTTGACAATAATGGCCTAGAAGATGTAGAATGAGATGGTGTCTTCTACAGCTCATGTGACTGATTTACTCTTGTTAACACCGACCTTGTTGATTTTAGGCTGGCCTGTTGAAGCTGAAAGGTTGAGAAAAGATTCTGTGTTTTAGGATTTGGGTTTTATATGGTTAAATTCACCATATGACTTGACACTGATGACATTTTAGCAATTGAGTAATGATGGACACGTGGAGCTGGGAAGGAGGAGAGGTCGTAGGTCACTGTGGCACATGTGGCTGAATTCTGTTGTGTGGCACTGATGACCTCTTGACCTCAAACTTTCATATCTGATGTCAGGAAGACAGCAGTTAAAAGCAATGATCAATAAACTCAAGTCTCAGGTTAAATTGAGACTGACCTGTATTAGAATTAGGACATTTTAATGTTACATGTCTCTACAGAGAACTAAAGTGTGTAAAGTTTTGACGGAAGTGACACTGAAGTAGGTCATGATGTAATTTCCTTCGCTTTCTATCTATTTCCCTTTCAGATCTTCGGGGAGGAACAAGTCCGCATGACATCAGAGGGATCCGACTGCCGCTGTAAGTGCATCATGCGGCCTTTGACCCGGGACGCATGCGCTCGCTTGCGGACAGGAAGTGTGCGCGGTGTGGAGGATTTTGACACGGTGGAGACGGTGAGTTCGGGAGCCGACTGTAAATGTTCCTGCACAGCTCCGCCCTCCTCTCTCAACCCCTGCGAGAACGAATGGAAGATGGAAAAACTCAAGAAACAGGCGCCAGAACTGCTCAAGGTAGGCCATGTTCACTTTTTACTTTTAAAACACAAATCTTATTCAAATGTACCACAGTTCTTGCATGATAACCATAGTTTAGGTTCTTTCATGCCCTACTGGCAAATTGTTTGTTCTTGTTTAAAGAATAAACATCAGTCATTTGAAAATGGTATAAGCAAGAAATATATATATATACATATTAGATATGTTCTCTAAAAATGTTTTTATCTTAAGCAATTTTGCTGAGTAAATGTATTTCATTTTATGTTTAGATATTTTACTGAACAATAAGACAAAAATACTGATTAAGCTAAATATTTTTGCAGTATGTAACTGCAGAACTTTATAATTATATTTTAAAATGGAAAAAAGTAAAATAAAATTTAAAAAGTAAAAAAATAAAGTAAAAATGTAAACACATTTAAAAACTATTACTACATATAAATGCCACAGTTGTAATCAAAATGAATATGATGAATTTGCATTATATTTACTTGCACAAAAAAATATAGTTACTACAGTTAGTTTTAGTAAAACCATGGTAAATTTTTTGTATTGATGGCCTAAAATTTGCCATTTTTTAATTTAAATGTCACAGATGCAGGCTAAAAATTACAACTTGACTCATTTAAACATTATTGGTCTATTAATCAAATTCTGCATTAACGATGCTCTGCTGTATAACTTAAACCTGTTATTGTACATGTTTGCATTGCATTTTAACAATCTTTAATGTTCTTTCAAAGTCATCTTTAGTCTTTAGAAACCTAAATCGTTGGAAAATAAAAAAAACTGGATGTTTTGTACATTCAGCAAAGTTTTCATAACTTAAAGGGTTAGTTCACCCAAAAATTTTGATTGCTCTTTTTGAGGTTAACAGCACACTTATTCACTAGAGAATGTTGGATGGCAGAATTCATGTATGCGGCACACATGTGTGCAAGTGTGTTTTTATAGCACCTGTACTCTTTCCTCTGCACCATTCCTGTCTAGTTCACTCTTTCCATCTTTTTTCTTTTTTGTCCATCTGTCTGAGCATTCCAGAAAGGGTTAGTTCACGCAAAAATGAAAATTGGCTTGTGTTTTACTCACCCTCGAAGCTTCCTAGGTAGGTGTATATGACTTTCTTCTTTCAGATGAATCCAGTCGGATTTATATTAAAAATTGTCCTGGCTATTCCAAGCTCTATCATTATAGTCAGCGGGTGTTGCAGTTGAACAGTCCACAAGTTGTCAAATAAAGCGCGCGCATCCACAATAAAACGTGCTTCACACGGCTCCGGGGGATGAATAAAGGCCTTCTGTAGTGAATCCATGCGTTTTTGTAAGAAAAATATCCATATTTTAAACGTAATAAACACTTTTATGTCACTTCCGCCAACTGTCATACGAGGAAGCCGTGCCGGCGGATGACGCAGCACGTCGGCGTTGCGTGATTAGTGACGAATGCGGAGAGACAACAAAACAAAACGCCGGTCACGAATTAGAAGTACAAACCGAAGATTTGCAAAGAAAAATGTCGGAGGATTTCGATATAAACCAAGAGGAGACTGGTTTTCCTTTGCTAAAGTAAGGAAACTTTGCTTCCTTTGCTCCTATAAACAAACTCGCGAGACTAGCATATCTCAGAGGCGCGCGCGCTGCGCATACGTCATACACCTTACGCGTATGAAAGATAATGGAAGTGAGAGAAAAGTGTTTATTACGTTTGAAATATGGATATTTTTCTTACAAAAACGCATGGATTCACTACAGAAGGCCTTTATTCATCCCCCGGAGCCGTGTGAAGCATGTTTTATTATGGATGCGCGTGCTTTATTTGACGACTTGAGAACTGTTCAACTGCAACACCCGCTAAGTGCAATGATAGAGCTTGGAATAGCCAGGACAATTTTTAATATACCTCCGACTGGATTCGTCTGAAAGAAGAAAGTCATATACACCTAGGATGCTTCGAGGGTGAGTAAAACACAAGCCAATTTTTTCATTTTTGGGTGAACTAACCCTTTAATGTGAACAAACATCACTATGCACTTTCAGAGCACCTAGCTAACATTATTAAAACATACTTAGAATATATTATTATTACCTGGGTAATGTGTTTGGACATTACTGAAATGCTACTGATGCACAACTGTGACATAACTTGAAGAGAAGCAGGAAAGGGATTGCTCTTTTTGAGGTTAACAGCACACTTATTCACTAGAGAATGTTGGATGGCAGAATTCATGTATGCGGCACACATGTGTGCAAGTGTGTTTTTATAGCACCTGTACTCTTTCCTCTGCACCATTCCTGTCTAGTTCACTCTTTCCATCTTTTTTCTTTTTTGTCCATCTGTCTGAGCATTCCAGTCCATATCTCCACAATAAACACACAAACACACACACACACACACAGAGCCACATGACAATCCTGCCAGATTTGGTTCTGCTAAAGGCCTCAAAATCATTCAGCAACCTTTAGGCAGTATTTAAACACAATGGTTTTAATATATTTGCACCTCAAACATTTGCTGATCTTGTGCTGTTTAGCTCTAAACATGTGGCTCTGTTTTGACTTTGCTGCAGTTTCTTCATATCTGTTGATGCCACATGAAGCCGTAAATAACCATGACAGTCAAGCTGTTACACGACTGAACTCACTGCAGCACGCGTCAACAATAAGCATATGAGGAAATTGCTCTCCTGTTTATTAGGGCTGTGTATCACCAGTAAAGTCACGATACGATATGTATCACGATACAGAGGCCACGATACGATACATATCACGATACGGGTCTGCGCTGAATTTAACCTCAGAAGAATTTTGTAAAACAGCTGTTTATTAAACACTGCAGACTATAGGGCTGTTGCTAACTATTGGCAGAGCAGGCAGTTGACCTCTGCATTATGAAGGGCCTCCATAACTGTACCACAGTACAATATAGGTAATGGCATATGTTTCATGTTTACATTGTGCACTCCCCACCAGGTACAATATTCTGATTGTTTGCATCTTGTTTTTAAGCCCATAAATAATAATGTACTCGTTCTAATAAATGTATATTGTAATGTACTCATTCTAATATATAAAAAAAATAATTTACATTGCTGGTAGGTTATCATTGCACAAATTAACACGGTCTATGATAAAAAAAAAAAAAAAAATTAGAAGAGTTCTAAACTAATGCGCTGTCTTCACTGCAGGGGCGTAGCCATCATTTCAGAAGTGAGGGGGACAGAAATGTTATA